TGCGCGGGGCTGCGGCCGGCGTGTTGGCCACCCCCACCCCACCCCCCGCGCCCGGCGAGCCCCCCGTGCCTCGATTTCCTCTTGGCGATTTGGGAGCCCGTGGCGACGGCACCGGGGTGCGGTGTTCCCACGCTCGGGATCCACGTTTCCCTTTGCACTGGTTGGAACGCACGCCGTGCGTGAATTCAGAGAGCCATCTTAGGAGTCCCCTTGCCCAGGCTTCCCCGTGGGTACATTTGCTCCACCTGGCGTGATGTCCCTGTGACCTGAAGGCTGAGCCGGTTGTGTGTCGCCGGAGCCTTTGTCCTGCTCTCAAGGATGCTTTTGGCCAGGAAGACGCTTTGGGGTTGCCACCCTCCCTGCCTTTTCCTTTACCTGCGACCCAAGGGACGCTGGATGCTGAATTCTCATTTTTTTTTTTTTTAAATACAGGCTTTTTGTGGAGTATGTACGTCGCGATTAATGAAAACCTGAGATGGGTTGTACCCAGTAGGACGTACTGTTTTTTTGAGTGTCTGTTGAGTAAAATTCTCAGACATAAAGTAACACACAATCTTTCTTGTTGCTCGTTTGTTTTTGAAGTGCTGGGGATCAAACCTGAGCTTTACGTGGCTAGGCCAGTACTCTACCACTGAGTTTATATGCCCCCAGATCCACAAAAAAATTTTAAGTCTACGTGAAAGATCACGTTTCAGAGGGAAGGTATAGTCTCTGCATGCTTACTTGAGTACTGTCGTTCTGCTGTGATGCACCCGAGCTCATTAACTTACATACCCCACTTTCAAATAATTTCCTGTTTCTTGATCATCTGTTCTCCCCTTTTTGAACTGATTCCAACCCCTGGTGTTTGTGGAGTTTTAAGATTTGACCTACTTGATCCTTAAATCCTTTGGTGTTAGGCTTGTTTAATTCTAAACATGTTTTTAAACGATTGCCTTGTAATGGAAAGAACATTAAATGAGCATCAGAAGATCTGGGGTCAAATAATTGTTCTGATACTTTTTTAGCAATGTGACCTTTAAAGAGTTGAGGTCTGAGCCTGAAATCACCTCTAAAATAGGGATTTAAAAAAAAAACCAAAACTGTCAGTATTTGAATCGTGATCCCAAAGATCAACCAGGATGTTTTTCAAAAGTTTTAAACAGAATGACATGCCGTATTTTTAATACGGCTTTCAGTTTTCAATTTGTAATTTCAATCTCTTCAAGATATACTTGAGCATTTATTTCCTCCTTTTTCTTAATGGCTGAATGTTGAAAAGGTATTGTGGTATTTTGGAATTTTGAAAGCAGTTTCAGCTAAGACTTGGTAGTTATGGTGATAATGTTTTTACACTATAATATTGAAGATTATGAAATATTTGGCAAGTTTTATCATTGTGCGGTGTTTAATTATAAATGCCCTGTTAGGAGACCTGGATTACTTTTTCCATATGTTAGCTCATTTTTACTTCTATCCAGGTGATTGGAGTTTCCAGTCTATGGTAACATACTATGTTTTTAAGAAGTTTGTTTAGCCCGGGGATTGAGATATTTATTTTAAAAACTCAAGTAGTGTTTTTAAAGCAAATCTTTATGAATTTAACACTGCTTTTGTTTTAAGATACTTTGGGAAGCAGATGGTATTTTTCTTAACCTCTCTTTTGTGTCTTTTACTTTTGTATTTCCTTCTTTATGTCTAAAAATATTACTTGTAGGATTGAGTCCTTCCTTTAACACAGGTGAAGATACTTGTATTTCAATAGAACTTTTAAGAACATACCTTCCTTTCTTGATGCTATCTTACACTATGTATCCAAAGTGGAAATATGATTTTTCTGGCTTTAGTATATATTTGGTGTCTATCATCATGGTGAATCATCAAAGAAAGATTGGTTCTTATTTTGTGCTTATACAAAGCAGCAGGACTGTTAGGTAGAATGTAAAACACATTAGGATCAAATGCAATTTAAAATATCCTACTTAAGGCCGGGCGTGGTGGCACAGGCTTTTAATCCCAGCACTTAGGAGGCAGAGGCAGGTGGATCCCTAGGTGTTTGAGGCCAGCCTGGTCTACAAATCTACAAATCAAGTTCTAGAATAGCTAGGGCTGTTACACAGAGAAACTATGTCTCAACTGCGCCCCCCCCCATAAATGAATAAATAAAATATCCTAGTTATTGTAAAAATTAACAAAGCAAGTATTTCATATCTTTTTGTTAACTGTTTTTTCTGAATTATAAATTTTTAAATTATGTTTATTTGTATGTGTATATGCACAGTATCACCATTAAGTATGCAGTTCAGAAAAGAACTTATAGAAGAAGGTTCTCTCCTTCCACCAAGTGAGTCTCTGGGATCAAACTCAGATTGTCATCCACTGAGCCATGTCACTGGTCACCTGAACTATAATTTTAAAAATCAATCCCTAAAAATTGTCACCAATGTGATGATGGTGAGCTTTTTGTTGTTGTTTTTCAGAGAGAGTTTCTCTGTGTAGCCCTGGCTGTTCTCTGTAGATCAGGCTGTCTTCTAACTCAGATCTGCCTGCCTTTGCCTTCCGAGTGACTTTTTCTTTTTTAACTAAACTTTGTGTGAATCCCTTGAAAGCACACATTTACAACACACTTCGGGTGGACCAGCACATTTCAGGTGTTTACTGTCCCATGCAGATAGATACCAGGTTGGGCAGTGCAGATTTGAACTGGTAAATGTGCAGTGCTGGTCTGTGGTGACTTTTAACTGATCAGCTGCTTTAACACTGCACCGGATCTGAGCTGCTGAAAATTAATGAAGAGTATCTGGCCAAGTTCTCATCTGACAGGTCTTTGTGAAAATCATCTGTCTGCTTATTACATAAACCCAAGACTTTAACCCTGGCACTTGGGAGGTAAAAGCAGAGGCAAGATGATCTCTGTGAGTTCGAGGCCAGCCTGGGCTACTTAGTGAGGTCCAAGACAGCCAGAGCTACATAGAGAGACCCTGTTTCAGAAAATAAAACAAAAAATCTGTTCCTTTCTACTTTTTGTGTGTATGTGGTGGTTTTTGGTGTGATGTGAGGTCTTATCATGTAGCCTTGGCTGGCCTAGAACTCATTATGTAGACCAGGCTGGCCTCAAACTCATAGAAATCCACTTGCCCCTGCCTCCCAAGTGTTGGAACTAAAGATGTACACCACTACACCTGGCAACTTCCTACTTTTAAAGTTAAATTTTGAAATTTTCCCTTATAAAAATAGTATTATGTTCCAGTATCACTAGTCATTTTTTCAGTCAATAAAATACTCTTTAAAAATATTTTGTCTAATATACCCAAAGGACTTTACCTCCTACTACAGAGATATTTACTCATCCATGTTCATTGTTGCTCTATTCATAATAGCCAGAAAATGGAAACAGCCTAGATATCCATCAACTGATTAATGGATAATGAAAATTTACACAATGGACTAATATTTAGCTGTTAAGAAAATTGATATTCTGAAATTTGCAAGTAAATGGATGGAGCTAGAAAAAAAAAACATACCTAAAGAAGTAACCCTGACCCTAAAAGACAAATACTGTATTTTTTCTCTGGTATCCAGATGTTAGCTTTAATCTTTCAATAAGTGTGCTACAATCCACAGAAGTTAGATACCTACGGAGGGAGGAGAGGGTCTCCCAGACAAGGGGGAATAGAATATAGTATTATGGAGAGACATGGGGAAACGAGGAGGATTAAGTAGGGAGAGGGAAGGCAGAAAAGAATAAAGAAGGGAATATGGAGAATGACCACTAACACCAAAGGCCATTTGAAAAGCCACATGGAAACCTGCTATTCTAGAAGCTTCCTAAAAATACAGACACATATGAAAGTAATCTAAATGGACAGTGCTCCAACTAGACATCTTATGCCACCAAGTAAAACCTCCTGTGCCAGGAGCAGGTTACATCTTGTTTAGTTGTTGGCCAAAGGGACCCCATGGAAACCCCCAAACATCACAGGCTATTGCCAAGGCTATTGGTTACTCTCCACAATTTGATGGGAAAGCCCTGTTGCTGAAAACAACACATCTTAGGACATGGAGAAGTTGAGCTGGTGCCTGACTAGAAGCTTTACTCCTATTGACAAGCATTCCTGGTACTGGAAGGTGCTCTACATGCTACTGGAAGAGAAAGGTAATCATCAATATCACCTAGCTACAACCCCTGAGACCTACAACAGTGCCCTGCCTGCAAGACAGACTAGTGCAGCAGTGGCACAAATGTTAGGAGAGTAACCACCTACTAGGCCCATTCCAGGAGATGAAACCCTTACCCGACGCTGGTAAAGTAGCTAAGAGCCTGAGACTAGATAGGTCGCAGGCCTAGGGGAAAATCTACTATTACTCTGTTAAAGGAACAGCAATATAATGACTTCTAATAACATGCTGCTGTATCCATAGATCAGTGCCTCACTCAGTTCACGTCAGAGAAGCTTCTGTTTGCAGTTGGTGGGGATTAACACACAGCGGGACAGTGTGCAGAGCGAGACAGAGACACTAGTGCACTCACTCCTAAATGGGATGTTCTCACCCA